GTCGTCTTTACTTCATAATAGACGACCTTTTTTAAAAAAAAACTGTCATCTTTACATATAATAGACAACAGTTCTTTCAAAACAACCATGTCTTTACCAAAAAAAAGACACTTAATTTTTAAAAGACGACGCTTGTCATACCTACTGTCGTTGTTTTTTGGTCAGATTTTAATTATGAAGAAAACCTTTTTAATAAGACAACGCTTTTTTATTTGTGTGCGTCGTTATAAAAAAAATATTCAACAGTACCTCCGTTTTTTAGTTGTTTAAGTCACTTATTCACGACGGTTTTTTCTTCTACCGTCATCTTTTTCTGGTCGTCTTTTTCACTTTTTGTAGTAGTGTATTGTCTCAAATCCACCCACAATAGTGGAAAGAAATCACCAAAGAAAGCAAAGAGGGAGGAAATGGTGAGAATGTTGGAGTGTTGAGAATGGTAGAGGGAAGAGAGAGGAGAGATGAGGAGAAAAGAGAGGGTTGAGATGATAGTAAATAGGATAGCAGAGGGAAGGATAAGCAATGACTTCTTTCTCCCCCTTATTGAGAAAGGGGCGGCTGGTTTCCTAGGGTTAGTTGAGAGAGAGAAAAGGGGCTAAGCATCATAGTTTAAGAAGACTACATCAATCATATATGTTGATGCACAAAAATAGTCGAGCACTTTTGGGCCCAACTTAGAGATGTTGCGTCACCTTCTGCTTCATTGGGCTATGTGGCAGATGAGGAGAATTTGCAAGACAAAGAGCTCAGAGAAGACCTTGGGCACCGGTCGAAGGCTCTATAATGCTTAAGTTAGCTTAAGAGCAGAGTGAATAGCAATTTGGACAGAGTATGAGCTAAGTAGCCGAATGAAACAGTTACCTCATTTTGAGGACTTGCGCCCCTTTTTATATATCTTGGGAGGTGTGCACCTTGAGTGAGATTTTAATGTGGGACTACGGGCATTGTCTGGGAAACTGCCACATGTCCTTTGTCCAGCCTAATAAAACATGAGTCTTTTTTGGTCGGATCAACAGGTTGTGTTGCCAAAGGCTCTCATTATCGATAGTCGTTTTATGGGCCTCAGTGCATTATTTGAGCTTTATAAGTCCTTTTGTAAGTCTTGTATTCCACATGTTGAGGAAGAATTGGCCGATCATATATAGTATAAATAATATATATATAAACTAACCTAATTGCAAACACTCAACCTTCCATTTTCCGGGTATGAGCACAAAGATCCAAACCATCGACAGTGAAGTATGATACATTTTTCTACTCGATCGTGACATTTTTCTACTAGAATCTCATCCCTAAAGATTCATTTTCTTTCTTCTAATTAATAATTTGGGCACGTTATTTCTCATTTGACACCTCACCTTATAAAATCTTGGTTGAAATGATATGTATGCCCCAATTTTGAGGAACCAGAAGCTTAATCAGCACATGAAATCGGGACCTACAATTTAGGGCAAGAGCTGATGTGACCGTACAGGCTCAGGTTGGCTCTGAACGCACATGGACTTTGAGCTAATTCTCTTGCTAAAATGAAGGAGTTAGATGGTGTATGTGTACCTCTCACAGTGTCATTGGGCCCACAAAGTTTGTGTTTTCCACAAACTTGAGCCTGGTAACATGCAATTTGGGGCCCCTCTTGGATCAAAGTGATATCCACAGATATACACGCGGCATGATTCTAGTTTTCTTATGTCAGGAGTGAAAGAGAGTCTTTGAGACAGATGATGAGAAAAGTCACATCGGCTAGGAATTCTAGTTTTGCTTAAAAGCACTTGTGAAATGAATGAACACTAGAGTTACGCTTGTGAAATGACTAAATCACTATGATAAAGTAACATTACAGTTAATCCATGCAAAATTCATATAGGTGTGAAATATATGATAAAAATCGCGAACGAGAACGACTGACTTTTATAAAATTCATATATGGTCACAAATATAATAAAAAATAACTGTTATTGGCACTCTAAAATAATGATCATAGGCTAAAACATTATCAAGAAACATCACTACATATACGTCTATTTGTTTTACTGTCATCACCTATTCAACCAAAAAAATTTTGAAATTTTTTTATCCTTTTTCAAAAATATTTATTGTGTTACTTCATATGGCATTTCTTTATTTTATTCTATAATTTTAACTAATCCATCTTTTTATAAATCACAATAATATTATGTACATGGATTATGAAGTCAAAATATGACAAAGTTATACATACAAAAATCTGTTCAAAGGTACACTAAACAAAAGCGATGTCCATATATGGCACCCTCGCTATAGAATTTCGTTGTCCATATAATAATACTAAGCTACCCTAAAGAAGTAGTACGCTGATGGTGGTCCTCATCGGCATTAGCTCCTGAGATTGCTGCACTAGCTTCCTGGAAAGAAGTTATAATCAAAACGTGTTATTACATACTAGGCAATAGCACTTAGCAGGTGGTGAATCCTGTAATACATTATCTGTTAAAAGGGCAACGATAACAGTTTCAATTGAAGTTTTTGCTCTAATTTCAGTACCTCCTTGTTGGCTCAATTGATTTATAAGGTCCATGGAAACGCTGAGATTCCGAAGCTCCTTGTTAGCCCTCGCATACTCTTCTGCCAAGGCATCAGGCTGTCTACAGGTCACCATTTGAATTCCAAATTTTTGTTTTCATTTCTATAGCAATCACAAACATAGAGAACCTGGTTTATGAGATTATGAAGACAAGCACTCCTCTGCTGGATAAGCGGTAGCCTTTGCCCCAAGAACTTAATTAATGTAGAATATAAGCTTCCTAACTTGCACACAAGGCAAGCATAAAAAAGGGCTTATTGTTCCAATAACCAACAAAGTTAATGATCCACAGAAAGCAATGAGCCTGCATCCAATTTTGGCAGAAATTTTTTTAAAATTCCAATCCATGTGCGAAAAAATCATGACCTACCATCCTTAAAACACACCATCTGCAGACCCAGCCTGATGATGGGAGGCTTAGCACCTCAATGGTATAGGTACACCCTGTCCGAAATCAAGACTCCAACGTTTCAAAATTAGCTACAGAGAGAAGAAATTAGCTAAAATTTTAGATGTAAATGCAACATTTAAATTCATAAGTTAGAAGGTTTTTCATGCAACTATGCAATCATAAGTCTGGAAACACAACACATCTTCACTTATCCATCACAAACTAGAGAACAACAAATACAAAACATAAACAAAGTTAAGAATACGCTCTAAAGCTCATATTACTCTTTCGTACGTAGCACTAAAAACCACAGCTACCTACTCATCACTAACAAACATCCATCCCCCCTTCTGCATAAAAGGAAAAATGAAATGTTGCTAAACTCTTTAGAAACAACAATGCATTCTATCCCACAAGAAGTATATAAGCTCACAGTTACATAGTTACGTGCGCTTAATCGCCTAGGCGAAATGACTGATCACTTGATCAGAGTAACATTACGATTAATTGACCATGTGAGTAGGTGTGAAATATATGATACAAATCGTGAACGATTGACCAAGATAATAAAAAAGTACTATGATTGACACTTCAAAATAGCGATAATGCACGAAAACGTTATCAAGAAACATTACTACATATACCCTTGTATTGTTTTACTGTCATTATAGCATCAATCTATATCACCTATTCAACCAAAAATTCATCTCATTAATGGTTCAAAAAAATTTGTAGCATTTATATTCATACCATTTACTTACAAGCTCTAAATCTCAACCGTTTGTATTTCTAAATTTTCATCCAAACGGTTTGAAACAATGCTTAGAACCTGGTTTGTTATCTATTAAAAGACTTGATCAAGTGCTTCACCATTTGTGTGTGATGTATATTACTTTCGTGAAGTGATGAAAAAAACGAGTTGGCCCTTGTTTTGAACTTACATAAGGGCTTAGCATCTGATTAGAAAAAAGGATTTAGTACTGGCTTTCAATAATGTGATAGGCAAATTGCTGAGTTTATCACAAGCCTTTCTCTTTAGCGTTTCCCTCGCTTTCTTTAGCTGTATTAGGCCAAAATGAAATGTTGATACAAACAATAATCAGCATTTTCGAGAGAACCAGACTAGGGAGTAGGAGGCCACCCTCTCATTCGATTCAGTCACAATATCTGAGATCAGGAACATGATTATCCGCAACAAAGAAAAAGATTTCCTGTTATTTATTTGAGAATCAACCATATACTTAATAAGGACAGATACAAAGGAGTAACTGGATTTTGATGTTTTAATATCAGTTGCTTACTCGGAAAGTGCAGTGATCTCTCAAGACCTGTCGAGCAAGATCAACTGCTCCACTCTTTTTGTATATAAGATGCAAATTAAAAGCTGCTTCTCTGTGAAGGTCACAGTAACCCGGTAATCGATTTTCAACAGACTCTGGCTTTTCATGGGGAAGTTTTGGGATGGGGTAATCCTTCACGTGCATTGCAAGAACTTTGTCATAGTGCCAAGCTGCCAGCGTCACAAGACCGACGTGATGGTATGCACTGGCTATGTTGAAAAAAGCCTCTTGGCTGAATTCACAAAGCTGCAAATGTTTGTAGAGGAATACTAAGCCTTGTGCAACACACTGGTGCCTATTCTGAAGTCTGTGTCCAAGGGCCAAGTTGATTAAGGCAGTACCGACACACAGATTAATCAGGGGATTCTCTGGCAATAATTTATAAGCTTGAAGGTATTCTCTCGCAGCATCTTGATGACGGCTCTTTTTAGTAAAATGATGCCCAGAAATGATACTCGGAGGTGCACAGTCTTTGAGTTTGTCTCGCTTACCACGTAGAAACTTATAATGCCTCGCATACCAGTCATCTAATCTGGTAATTACTTTGTAACAGCAGTTCCAGGCAGCATTGCTGTATGGATGCTGGTCTGCAATGTATTTTACACAGTCAACCCCATGCTCAGGATCCGGAGTGTGCATGCAATTTGAGCTCCAGGAGATCGGAGTCCCTCCGCAACAGAACACATGTTGCGAGTTGATTTCAAAGCAAGATTTATAATCTCCAATGCTTCGCAATATCTATATGCAAGGAAGCCAGTGACTTGCACAAATATATTATAAGGCCATGATTCTCTTTATCCGTGAGAAGATCTGGCAGGGGAGGTTCTTGGTGTATTTCTTCTGGAGGATCATCACCTGAATCATCACTTTGCCAGTCAACTCCAGCAGCCATTGCCTCAGCTCTCCTTTCTTCCTTTACTTTTGCCTTCTTTTGAAGCAACTTCTTCGCTCTGGTAGCTTTCAGCAGATCTGATGCAGGAGCTACTGGTCTAGATCTGCATAATGGGTTATCTGTTTGGTGATCATCCAGGACTTTCGCTCTTTCTAACAGAACACTTTTTGTGTGCCTCTTTTTCACTTTCACCTTCTGCTGAAGTGATTCGATGCGTAACGACTCATGTACCAAAGGATAGATTGCATCCACAAATTCCTTGCGCATCCCTTTAGCTATGTAAATGTAGCAAAGCTTCAGTTTCACTTTTCCATTACACCACCATGGTTCTGATTTATTTGTTTGGGCTTCAAAGCGATCTAGATTTTTTGGAGGAGATAGCAACAAAATGGCTTCATCTTCTCTGGCTTCCTCAAGAAGAATAGAAGCCAATGTTAATCGGGTCTCAATATTATCTTCAAGTGTCTTCACAGCTTCATAGAACCACAAAATTGCCTGTACTCTGTCATTCAAGGACAAATGACATCAAGCAATTTTTATACGTAAAAAGCCTTTATTATGTTTGGTGTTTCCTTTCAACATGAAATAATACTTCAATGCAGAATTATAATGCCCAAGACTCATAAATGAGTCTGCGACTTTAGCAATCAAGTCAGCATGATCTGCACTCTGCTGTTCAAGAGCACTAAAGAGTTTCTGCCTTCTCCATATTTCCAAGGTAAGCATGGCAGATTCCTGCGTTAATTTTCATTGTCAAAGGCATCTCTTTATTTGAACAGAATACAAGTTGTGCACGCTCAATATGCAGAATTGCTTCATTATGTGCATTATTTTCCATAAGTATGGAAGCTAGCAGATCAATGACACTAGGATCAGTTTTGGTTGGATGATCTCTGAGATAAGCCTCCAGAATATGAATAGAATGCTCATGCTGACCACTTCTGTCATACATCACAGCTCCTGTCTTGAGTGCTTCAACATTATCAGGACAGGCTTGTACTATCTGTTCATACGATGCAGCAGCTTTATGATAGTCTCCGAGCTTAACATAGAGTGACGCACGACCCAATTTCAGATAAATATTTTTAGGATCTGCTGATATTGCTCTTGAAAGGCAATAAATGGCTTTATGAGTGTTGCCTTGTCTATTGAACCAGCCAAAGAGCAGTTCCCAAAGAGCTGGATTTTTTGGTGCTAAAAGTGCAGCAATTGTGAAGCAATTCAAGGCTTTCAATTCATTACCAAGATTATCATGGCCAAGTCCAAGTGTATGATACGTCTCGGGCAAATCTGGTGCCAGCTTAACAATTTCTGCCAAGATGGGTATGGCCTCTTCATAATGTCCATGTACGTAGTGAAGAGTAGCTTCACCAAGCCTTCGAGTAATCTCAGGAGTAAGTTTCTTCTTTGATCCTTTCCGTCTACCTTTTTTCTTGGGCTTCCTTATTCTCCATTGCATACCATAATTCATGGCCTCCATTATTTCCTCCATGCTTGCTCCAGTAACATCCTTATGCCTGGCCTTCTTAACAGAACCTTCAGGCCGACTATCCTCAAGTGCTTTTCTCTTTCTTTCAGCTAGAGCCTCATAATCCATGCCCACAAACTGCTCATAAACTTCTTCACCAAAAGCATCGTCTTCCACAAATTCCAAAGGTTTAACCCCATCTTTGAAACTGAAAGTATTCTCATCCTCATCGTCTTCGTCCACTTCCCCGTCTTCTTCATCCTATTTGTGGGAGCAAATTTCGTCCCACTAGAATATTCGCCTAAGATTCCTTCGTTTTCTCAACTTCTCTTTTCTCCCTGCAAAATAGATCGGGGTAAAAGGACCACACCCTGGGGGTGTTGGCCAAAGGCCCTCCGATGCCTAAGTTAGGTAGGGTATTTCAAGAAAAACCGGGTGACCAGAGCCGTGTGTGGTGGCCGGAGCCTTGTGTCAGAGAGAGAAATAATATGGTGGCTAAGGCTTTGGAGAAATGATTTCTGCAGAGTTTCAGTAGGAATTTAGAAGTACCTTAACCCTTGTGTGTGACCATCTTTTTATAGTGGTCTAGGAGGCTAGAGTTTTAGAGGAATAATTCCATAGATGGAAAGGAATTATTCCTCCCCGATTTGGAATTGATTTGCTTAATTAGAGATTTGATTTATTAGGGTAAATCAAATTCCTAATTGTGGTAGGTATCAAATCAAATCCTAATTTAATTAGGTAACTCCTCATTTAATTGGGAATTGGGGTAGGAATCAAATCAATTCTCAATTTAATTAGGTAATCCTCAATTAAATTAAGTAACTCCCAATTAGGTTGAGTAATTCCCAATTAGGTTAAATAATCCCCAAATAGAATGAATTATTTGACCTATGGTATGATTTAATTCGGTTCCCACAAACGCCCCATAGCTTTTGCATGACGCATGGTGGCATGTAGGAGATGTGAATTATCTGTTGGGATGTCCAGCTATAATTGGGCTTCATTCTTGGATTTGGGCTCCTAAGTGGAGGAGGTCTTTGACTTGCCACTTTGGTCTTTTGACTTGGGCTGTCCAGATATAATTGGGCTGGAGGCGAGCCGACCTGCTGCTGGAGCAGGTGGGAGTTTGGGTCGGCTTATTTGTGGTTGATCCAAACTGATTCAATTCCTTCTTCTTTTTGTGTCACGAACTAGGAACATTATGAGTCAAGGCGATCATGTGTGGAGCACGGACATGTTGGAAGTCAGTGGCAGATGGGTATGGGAGGTTGGCGACGGTCCGCTCGTTCCTCTCACCTACTGTGATGGTAAGTTGCATCCCTTCGATCTGCTACAGTTGCCATGGAATTCTTTGCTGTGAGTCTGACTGACTTTTATCTCTTGCTTGTAGAAAATGACATCCACAATAAGCTTGATCTCGGCCCGGACACCACCACTGTTCATCAAGCTTTGAACATCCTTGTCAGGTTCTGTGGATTGCGCTGATTGCTGAGTGAACATCGGAAGGACGCTGGTGGTTTGCCCCTATCCGAAGATGTTGAAAGATGAGAGCTGCATGGCTCGGACCCAGATGATCTGCCAGTTGAGTCAGAGAAGTCCTCGACCAAGCTTCCTCATTCTTCCACGAGCAAGTCTTTCATAAGGGGGTTTCGTTTGCTGAGAATGTCCCTATGGGAGTTGCTTATTCATCTGCCAGGATCAAGAGTCTCGTCAGTGCGAACAGTAAGAAGATCAATGGCATGCAGTAGGTCCGGGATATTCTACTCAAGTATCGGCTCGAACTGCCTAAAACCCATGATCTACCCTGTGAGGAGGCTGTTGAGAAGCAGAGTTTGAGTTGCTTATGCCGATTATGGGCTTAAACTGAGAGGATTGTACATCTGTCTAGCAATCACAACTCGTCTGTAAAGCCACGAATAGTCAAGCGCAGAGCTGACTCAATGTTGCAAGTTACGGCCAAGAGAGCTAAAGAGTCATCTGCTCGAGCAAAGAGTCCTTAAGTTGTGCGAACTGCCGATCCAGAAGTTGGTGATAGCTCCACTGGTCAAGTTCGACACTCATGTTGAAGCCACGGAGGCATTCAAGCATGAGATTGTTGCTAATGCATACAAGCTGGGATACTTGGATTGTAGGAATAGTGCTTCTCCTTGTTGCGCTCTCGAACATGAAGACGGTAAGCAGCTTTATCTTGAATTGCCCCCTGCTCAAAGTGAGTAGAACAATGTTGTGGATGCAGAAGCAGTTGAAGAGCAGATAGCAGATGAAACTGCAATAGAGGAAGACAACTCCCAAGGTGGCGTAGCTAATAAGGCTAGACCAGATGCGAAGGAGCAGGCATGTGAGGCCGTTGAGTAGATGGTGCTGGTTGGCCGCTTTGTTATGGAATTTTCAGTTGTCTTTCAAACTTCAATTCTCGTTATATCTCGTAAGTGTATATTCGGAGAAATAGCACTTGAAAGAGACTCCATTGAGCTTGTACTCGTGAAGTAGCTTGCCTTAAGTGGAGGTGAGGCTTGTCGCCTGCGAGCGTATTTCGGGGACATAATGCTCGAAAAAGACTCCATCGAGTTTGTGCTCGAGAAGTAACTTGCCTTCAGTGGAGGTAAGGCTTGTCGCCTGCGAGCGTAGTAGGATATCAACTGCTGCTGGTAGGCTGCGACTTGAACAATGGCCTTTTCTCATTCTTCTTTCAGCAGATCAAGGTTGACTTTCATCTGCTTACAGTTTTGGTTAAGACTGCCCACCTTAATGCTCATGGAAGGGACTGTGACGTGTGGAGGAATGATTGCTTCTGTCCCATAGACTAGGGAAAATGGTGTCTCTCCAGTCGATTTCCTTTTGGTTGTGCGATAAGCTCATAGGACTCCTAACAGGTCGTCGACCTATTTTCCTTCTGCGCCCTCCAGTCTTTTCTTCAGGCAGTCCAGCACGATTTTGTTGGATGCCTCTGCTTGGCCATTGCCTTGCAGGTATCTGAGAGTTGACAGGTGCTGTTTGATGCCATACTTCATAAAGAATGCGGTGATCTATCTACCCACGAACTGTGTACCATTGTCGGTGACTATCGATTACGGGCAATCGAATCTACAAATGATGTTCTTCCAGATGAACCGCT